GGGTAAAAGGGCGGGGAGGCCGTGGGGGGAGACCCCAGCCCGGCCCCACTGCCCTCCTTGCCCTCCCTGCGCCCAGGAGCGGGGTAAAAGGGCTGGGAGGCCGTGGGGGGAGACCCCAGCCCGGCCCCACTGCCCTCCTTGCCCTCCCTGCGCCCAGGAGCGGGGTAAAAGGGCTGGGAGGCCGCAGGGGGAGACCCCAGCCCAGCCCCGCTGCCCTCCCTGCGTCCAGGAGCAGGGGGGATGCCGGCTACCGGGGTCAGCGCTCCTGCTCGGTGCGTCCCAGACCACCAGGAGCGAGCCTTGATGAGTTTCAGCCTTCAAAATCCCACTAATTGGATCAATATTAACTTCAAATTCCCACTCCCAACCTCTTCAGGCAGGCCCTTGGATGCAGTGCTCTAAATGCTTTGGATTAAGCAAAGAATCTCCTTCCCCATGGCCCCGCTCGCCCTCAGAGCTGGAGTTCTGGTGAGGGAACACCAGCATTCGGCTGTCCCCTTTCTTTAAATTTCTCGTAGTGAAATTAAATGGCGGCCGGCACGTCCAGGGGATATTACGGGGGTTTGATCCCTTCATGAACCTCGTCATCGATGAGTGCGTGGAGATGGCGCCAGGAGGACAGCAGAACAACATCGGCATGGTGGTGAGTGCCGCTTGGGGCTGAAACGGGCAGAGGGTGACCCGCAGACAGAGCCAGTGTGCCTGAAACGAGCTGGATTTTAAAGAAGTGGACGCGTTTACTGTAATAGCGTGGAATCCATGAGGTTTTCGAATTAAAATCAGCTGATGTTCATCTTTTGGGGGTGGGGGGGGAATTCCCGTGAATTTCTGGCATGCAGTATCAGCTTTTTGGGAAGATAAATTGGGGATGGGACATGTGGAGGGGTGCATAACCGTACGCTGTATCTCACCAGCTACTCCAAACTTTCACTTTTAGGTAATACGAGGAAACAGCATCATTATGCTGGAAGCCTTGGAACGAGTATAGCATCGGAGAGAAACCTGCTTTGTTACCAGCCCTGACAAGACCTACCCTAATATTTCTTTTTTTTTTTACTCGAATCTGCTACAAAGCCCTCCTGAGCATAAACTTATTTGTTTTGTTAAATAAATTTTGTAATGGTTTGATGTAATTCGTCTCAGTCATACTTGCTTTTTTTTTGGGGTAACTGGTTCTTCATTGTGGGGCAGGTGGTTGTTAATTCTGCTCCCGATAGCTTTAAAGCTCTGCAAAGGCTTTCGGGAGGTTTCGTTTATTGAAGTGGATGCTAAATTGGTGTTACCTTTGGTGTCCTTCCCCTTAGCATCTTGTAAAGAAGGAGCTACAGAGCTGTGTCATGGATGTTCGGTGGGTTAGCAGGCCTTAAATGGCAGGAAAATGGTAAAATTTCCCTCTGCAAAGAGTAAGGGCTGCCTGAAAGTAGGATTTACTTATTTATTTTTGAAATCATGATTTCTACTCTTATTTCTGCATCGCAGGAGTTGTGGTGCAGGAACCAAAGCCTGGCGTGAGGAACACACCTGCAGCGGGAAGTCTGTTCCGCTGGGATCAAAAGTGTTCTGCTGGGATAATACCAATCCTAAGTACCGCAACATTTTTTTTTATTAATATTTTTTTTTTATTTTTAGCTTTTTTTGCCGCTGTGCCCAGCGTGGCACAGTGAGTATCAGTCGGACAGCTGAGCCCCAGACGGAGCATCACAAATAATTCTGCCGGAGGCGCTCTCGAGACAACGGCGTCAGCTTAATTTCCCAACAGTGCGTTAATTTTATTTATAACGGCGATATCGGACACAGTTGAGGTATTGCAGCCATGTTGGATCTGGTCAAGGGAGACAATGTTCTTGTGAAAAGGGTTTTACCCACTCAACCCTAGTGGTGCCCTAAGGTCACCGAAATGATGAAGGCTTTCAAACCTTTGCCCAAGCAAAGGGCAGCTGTGGATTTGCTCATTTCCCCTCCCTCCCCCCCCATTTTGGCAACTCCCTTCACAAGCAGCAACCCTGTGCCCCCATCCCCCCCCCATAAGCTACAGTACTTGTTCTGGAAGCAAATTAAGACCACGGCTCCCGATTTCCACCACACTAGTCCCACCCCAAGGAATAATACCTGACCCACCATTCCAAAAATACTCAATGCAGAAAGATTTACAGTCAAGAAATTGGTTTTTCCCCGCTTGAAAGGCATCAGGAGGAGGGAAGCGGATGCACACAGGTTCATCGCAGCGCAGCAGATCCTGAGTTTGGACAAGTCCTTACCATGGAGGGCACTTTTGGGGTCAATGTGGCATTGAAAAACGTCATTTTTAATCTGCCGTAGGGATAGAGCGAGGAGTTTACTTGAGGAAAGGCCCAGCTCACTTGGGAAAGCTTCCTCCACCTTTTCGCTGCTGGCTCTAGTCTTGAGCTGGCTGGGGGGATCTCCTCTTTCCTTAGGGCTAAGCAAGGAGTTCCTCATTCGTTAGTGTTAATTGTGGCTAAATGGCTACAGTACGCGACGGGTTGTAGTGCTCAGAGCTCCGTTTTCAGCTTCTCGTGCAAGTCCTCCTGGTCAATCTTGTCACCGTTCCCGTACCACCGGTGGTAAGCGAGCAGGGCGGCGTTTTTGGCCGCGATGACGCTCATCTCCATGGCGCTGGCAGCCCGCTCGATGCCGTTCAAGTAGTAGATATTGTCGTGGAGGATGATGGGAGGGCATTTTTCCGGGGGGCTGTAGTGGGGGTACGCCAACCACTCCTTCACTTTGACAGAGTCATAGGAGGAGAAGAGCAAGTTAAGCTGCTCTTTGGTGAGCACCTCCTTTGAGAACACCTTCCAGACGGCCACCTGCAAGGGCAGCTTCCCGTCGCTGCCTCCCTCTTCCACGGGAGACACCACCCCCAGGCTATTGACGAAGAGTTTGGGATTTTCCGTAGTGAAGATGGCACCGAAATGAAAGGTGGAGGGGTCCTGGTAGCCAAAGAAGGAGGCGTTTAATCGTCCGTGCACTAACGTCGTGACAGTCTGGTGGTAAGGATTTGGGAACTCTGGGACAGGAGGGTTGAAATTCTTGAAGGTGATGTTGGCCATTTTGCGGCTCAGCGGAGCAGCGATGATGACGATGTCGTACGTATCCCCTGTTAGTCCCGACGTCGTGTTGTAAGTGACCTGGTAGAGCTTCACTGGGTCCCCTGGGGAGAAGAGCGGGAGGAGAGCTGGGTTATCCCGGTCCATGGCCGGAGGGAATCCCGTTTGTCCCTCTGACAAACATGGGGCTTTTAAAACGCCGTCCCCTTGAGGCTAAATGTTGCGAGCTGAAGTAGCTTTGTAAAGCAGCTTAGCTGCTGCGAGCTGGGGCTTCGAGCAGAGCCTGGTGTTCATCGTAACAGACCAAGAAGGACCCAGGCTGTTGCTTTGGTCCACCAAGAGCCACAGCCGAGCAGCGACGAAGGCCAAGGCTGGTCTGTGGCTGCCGGAGCATGCCGTGGCCCTCCCCACCGAAGGGAAAACAAACCCAACTCACCTGTAGGTCTGGGTCTGATTTTTGGCTCTATAGACAAAACCGTACCAGGGATAACTTCAGCTTTGGAGGCGTAGATTAGGCCAGTGCAGACGAGTTTGTTCCCCCCTTTTACTGACCAGAGGCCCGATTCCACCCCTGCCAGAGAAACAGCACCTACAAGGAAACCACAATTGTTAGAGCAGCTTGTTTGGTGTCCTTCTGTAGGGGAGTATTTGAAACAAAGGGGAAAATTAGAGAGGGGTAGGGGGAAAGCGCCATCCCTTTGGGGCACAGAGCTTGCTGAAGGCCAGGGCTGTTTGTTGGAGCAACCCAGCCCAGGGAGCAGGAATCCCCAACAGCCACAAAGAGGGCAAGGTCCCCGGGACAGACGTGGTGGGGAGGTTAACCTCCGAAATACTCGCCTACGAAACCGTTGATTGTGACACCTTGCCCGTAATTGACTCTCATGGCCGGACAAACCACCTCGTTTATGAATTTATGGGAGAAGCCGGCTTCCTGCATGGCTTCATCGATGGTTTTGTTCAGCATGCGGGTGAAGTCGTTCCCTCCGAGGGCGTGAAGCAGGCGCTCGTTGCTGCTGAAGGCGTAGTCGTACGTCTGGTAGCGATAGATCCTTTAACCGGAGAGAAGAATGAGGCAGTCGGTCCCTGTTAATTCTCGTTGTGGCCCTCGGGAGCCGTGGAGGATCTCACAGCCCTTCACAGGAGCTCATCCTTCCAGCCAAGCCCTAGCCTAAGTGGTACCTGCCTAAGTAGACCTGGATCTTCATTATCCACGTGCTGATCTATCCTAACGAAAGCGCTCTGCGCACAGTTACAATTTTAATTCCCTTTAGTACCCAGGTGACGATGGGACATGCCAAACCTAACACGCATTTCTTGTGGCTGTACCTGTTTGAAGACAACAGCACTTACCTCCATCTTTTCCTTAGGAAAAGGATTGGCAATGGGGAGAGGGCAACTGGAGACTCCCTTCTCAATGGCCATGGGATGATTTCACCCATTTTTATTTATTTATTTACTTATTTATTACAACTCCTGCAGCCGCTTTCCTATCATTTCTCTAGCCGGGGCCCAACGTACCGCATGAATTTGTCCAGGATGTCCTCCACCCACATGTACATTCGGAGGGGGTTGAGCCCGTAGCGCCAGAGGAGCTTGAGAAGGTTGACGATGTACCAGCTGCTCTCCTCGAAGACGAACTCCTCCCCGTTATAGATGCCCACGAGGCTGCCGTGCGCCGGGGCAACCGAGAGGCCTCCAGGAAAGGGGTGGGGGGGGAAAAAAAAGGTAATTTAATTATTAATATAATAAACTATATATTATGCCTCGATTTTAACTTCCCGAGGCAACCTAGCTCGGGGTTGATCAGGGCAAGCGATTAAAGATTGGATCCCCAGGACGTGGAAAAGGTCATTAGTTCTTGGTAGTTATTTACGGTGACTTTTGGACTTTTATGATGGGATTGG